CCAAAGTTTTACGATGAAGGCTGCCGTGTTATGGACCATAAGTGATTTTCCGGCTTATGGAATGTTGTCAGGATGGAGTACACATGGTTATAAAGCTTGTCCACATTGCATGCATGATAAAGAATCTACTTACTTGCCAGCGAGTCGCAAGATTTGTTATATGGGGCATCGACGATTTCTTGAAGATAATCATAGGTTTCGAAGGCAAACCATCACTTTTAATGGTCGTCGAGAGCATCGTACTGCACCAAGGCAGTGGACTGGTTTACAATGTCTCGAAGAACTTTCTACATTGAGATTTACTTTTGGAAAACCAAACAAGGATGCTTCAGTTGGGCAACGCAGAAGAAGAGCTTCGAGCAGTACAAGTAGTAACAGTCAGTGGAAGAAGAAATCGATTTTTTATGAACTACCTTATTGGAGGCATCTCTTGATTAGACACAATCTTGATGTTATGCATATCGAGAAGAATATATGTGACAGTGTGGTGGGAACATTGCTAGATATAGAAAAGTCTAAAGATGGATTGGCGGCACGTGCAGATCTTGAATTCTTGAACATAAGACATAGTCAACACCCACGTAGAGAAGGAAATAGAACATTTCGACCTCCAGCATTGTTCACATTGAAAAGAGAAGAAAAAACTGCGTTTTGTAAAGTATTGTCTACTATTCGGGTCCCAGATGGATATTCATCAAATCTGTCACGATGTGTGCACGTGAATGAACGAAAAATACATGGGTTGAAAAGTCATGATTGCCATGTTTTAATGCAGCAGTTACTCCCGCTTGCAATACGCCCGGTTTTGCCTAAAGCTGTTACTATGGTTTTATTAGAGTTGAGTGCAATTTTCAGACAGTTATGTAGTAAGAAGGAGTCTGAGGAAGGATTTAAGCAACTGAATTCAAGAATTGCCTTGACATTATGTCAACTTGAGAAAATATTCCCTCCTGCATTTTTTGATATAATGGTGCACCTCCCAGTTCACTTGGCAGATGAAGCAGCGCTTGCAGGCCCTGTTCAATATAGATGGATGTATCCAATTGAACGGTAATGAATAAATTTTTATAATTTTTTTACAATTGTAGTCATAACTTTAATTAATAATTATAATAATTTGTATTTCGTTTTATAATTGTAGGTATTTGCAAACACTGAAGCGCTATGTTCGTAATAAGGGTCGTCCTGAAGGTTCTATTGCTGAAGCATATTTGGTGGATGAGTGCTTGTCATTTTGTTCCATGTATCTTAGAGACGTTGAGTCTCGTCGTACCCGTAGAGGCCGAAATGAAGATGGGATTGGACGTGGAGTATCTGGTGGGTTATCAATTTTTGACTCGAAAGGATGTTATATGGGTTCAGGAGAAAATGTGGAGCTCAATCTAAATGTTCTTGATCAGTGCCATAGATACATTCTAAATAATTGTGATGAAGTTAGCCCATTTAGAAGGTAAGAATGTTTAATCATACGTCGAAATGTTTTATTGGTTTTCTTAACTTTGAAAAAATAATTATCTAAATTGGACATAATTGTGTAGGCAACATGAAGAATTCTTGAAAACTAAATATCGTCGAGAAAGGTTAACTATGCGACAAATTAAAGAGCTAAGCAAGAAAGAATTTCCAGAATGGTTCAAGCAACATGTGAGTTGATATAATAATCATATTATTTATTTATTGTTTTGCATTTTAATTATAACATGTTTATAGTTATTTTGTCAATATTTATCTTCATACTTATTACAGATGAATTCAAGATATGATGCTAATGACACATTGATATCTCAAGACTTGCATTGGCTAGCTAATTATCCTAGTAGGGTTGTGAGCAGATACAAAAGTCACATTGTTCATGGATTTAGATTTCGTATAAAATCTGTGGATGATAAGCATAAGAATCAAAACTGTGGTGTCTTTGTACCTGCAAATGTTCCTGGAGCAATTGGGCAAGTAAATTGTTATGGCAGAGTTGTAGATATGTTTGAGGTCAAATATTGTGGTCCTACTGAAGCAGGAGATAGGGGTCGAGCTGTGATGTTATTTAAGTGCGAATGGGTTAATAGTGAAAGTCCACGAGGAATGAAGACTGATCAATATGGATTTACTATGGTGAATTTCAATCAATTGGGATTTAAAGAGGATCCTTTCATACTAGCATCACAAGCATTACAGGCATTTTACGTGGAGGACACGATTGAAAAAGATTGGCACGTAGTTGTTCGAACTCAGCCAAGAGATTTATTTGACGTATTAGAGGATAGTGATGCTATTGATGATTATGACACGCCGAACTTGGATGATCGAATTCTTGATAATGAAAATTTTCATACAAGGGTTGGCGTGGAAGAGACTCCCTTTCTTGAATCATTAGCGTTGCCTACCGGGTTCGTTAATCATGCCAATACCGACGAAGAGCTAACAGATGATGACAGGGAATAAATATATTAATTATTTTTTGTTAATTATTTTTTGTATTAATTAGACTTTGTTTTATTTTGTATGCTATGATATCGTATTATAAAATTATATTTCTTTTTTTTTTTTTTTTTTCCTTGACATTCTGTCGCTTTTAACCGACGGCATTTTTCAGGTATGTCAGAATTGCGTCGGTTTTAACCGACGCAACCCCAGCCTATTTCGACGCAATGTTAAGCTTAGGACATGTGTGTCAGACTTGGCGTCGGTTTTAACCGACGCAACCCTAGCCTATTTCGACGCAATGTTAAGCTTAGGACATGTGTGTCAGACTTGGCGTCGGTTTTAACCGACGCAACCCTAGCCTATTTCGACGCAATATGAGACTATTTCGACGCAAGATACTTGTTGTCAATCATATGCATTACCCCTAATAATAATAATTATATATAATTATTTTTTATTATTTGCAGTTTTATAGCCTAAATATTAATAATTATATATTAATTTAATTGTTTTACACCCCTAAAAACAATAATAATTATATATTAATTTAACTGTTTTACACCCCTATACGAATGCAATGAATGTTTTACACCCTAATAATAATTATTATATATAATTATTTTTTATTATTTGTAGTTTTATACTAATTATAATAATTATAAACTCTAAGTGTTAGCCAATCTATCGTTTTACGAATTCTCCAAAACTAATTTCAACGATCCAAACCGTCAAAATTGTTTGTATATGCTTGGAGATCACATCAGCAAAAAATCACAAAAAAAAAACATTCAGAGATCAAGTAACGGGACAAAGCTTTTCGACGGTTATAAACGAAAAATCACGATTTAACGGTTATTTTAACTCCGATTTAGATGATTTTTTATAACTACACTCCTTGACCCTATATGAATACAATGAATGAATTCGATCTTCAATTTAAAATATTTACACAAGTGGATACCACAAAATCTTACGTTATACGTAATGAAAGTATAAATAAACTCTAAGTGTTAGCCAATCTATCGTTTTACGAATTCTCCAAAACTAATTTCAACGATCCAAACCGTCAAAATTGTTTGTATATGCTTGGAGATCACATCAGCAAAAAATCACAAAAAAAAAACATTCAGAGATCAAGTAACGGGACAAAGCTTTTCGACGGTTATAAACGAAAAATCACGATTTAACGGTTATTTTAACTCCGATTTAGATGATTTTTTATAACTACACTCCTTGACCCTATATGAATACAATGAATGAATTCGATCTTCAATTTAAAATATTTACACAAGTGGATACCACAAAATCTTACGTTATACTTAATGAAAGTATAAATAAACTCTAAGTGTTAGCCAATCTATCGTTTTACGAATTCTCCAAAACTAATTTCAACGATCCAAACCGTCAAAATTATTTGTATATGCTTGGAGATCACATCAGCAAAAAATCACAAAAAAAAAACATTCAGAGATCAAGTAACGGGACAAAGCTTTTCGACGGTTATAAACGAAAAATCACGATTTAACGGTTATTTTAACTCCGATTTAGATGATTTTTTATAACTACACTCCTTGACCCTATATGAATACAATGAATGAATTCGATCTTCAATTTAAAATATTTACACAAGTGGATACCACAAAATCTTACGTTATACTTAATGAAAGTATAAATAAACTCTAAGTGTTAGCCAATCTATCGTTTTACGAATTCTCCAAAACTAATTTCAACGATCCAAACCGTCAAAATTGTTTGTATATGCTTGGAGATCACATCAGCAAAAAATCACAAAAAAAAAACATTCAGAGATCAAGTAACGGGACAAAACTTTTCGACGGTTATAAACGAAAAATCACGATTTAACGGTTATTTTAACTCCGATTTAGATGATTTTTTATAACTACACTCCTTGACCCTATATGAATACAATGAATGAATTCGATCTTCAATTTAAAATACAAAGAGTGACTCAACTCTTCTAAGCTTTCTAGGGTAATTAACTTTCCGATGTGGAGCAACTCTACATATCACCACACTTCCAACTTTGATTTGGGTTCAATGGTGTTTAATCCATTCTAGTAAATAACAACCAAATGTTATCAAATGTATCAAAATAACAACAAATTAAAATAACAATTAGAGTGCAAAAAAAATTAATTTAACATAATATATTCTTATATTCCTAAATATTATAAGTTTAGGTTATATTTAATATTGTTAATTTAACATAAATGCTTATAAATATTATTCATTCCATTTTCTCATAACAACTCAAATTATGTTCATCTAATCCATTCTAGTAAATAACAACAAAAAATTATCAAAATAACAACAAATTAAAATAACAATTACAGTGCAAAAAAAATTGATTCAACTTAATAAATTTATTTATTAAAATATTATATGACATAACATAACTAATTATTTTTAAATTTTGGGTAAATTGATTGGCATGTCTAATTATTTATTAAAATATTATATGACATAACATAACTTAATACATTTATTTATTTGTTCCTTTTTTTTTGGGAAGTACAAATTTTATTTTTATGTTCGGCGGGAGGTTTCCCGGTATTTTTTGCTGGGAATGGGTTGAATTGATTGGCATGTCAACTTGGACTGGTTTTAATCGAGGCAAAATTATACATTTTCGAGACTAATTGAATGTCAGACGATTCTTATTTCGAAGCAAATGTTTTCATATTTCGACACAAACTTTCTCTTATTAAAAACCTGTCAGGCTAACGTCGGTTAAAACCGACGCAATGTGACCTTATTTCGACGCAAAGGCATTTATGACTGAAACATGTCAGACTTTCAGTCAAAACTATGTCAGGCTATAATATAGGTCGAATCAGATATAGTGGCGGTTTTAAGCGACACAAACCTGTGCTTATTTCGACGCTATGCAAGCTAACGTCGGTTTTAAACGACGCAGTAGGCCCTTATTTCGACGCTATGCAAGATAACGTCGGTTTAAAGCGACGCAATAGGCTTGCACTGACAAGTATAGCAGGCTTTATGTCAGGTTACGTGTGGGAGGTTTAGTCAGTGATTGTGTCGGTTTTAAGCGACGTAATGTATTCATATTTCGACGCTAAGTTGTTATCCATATTTAATTTCTGTCTCCCTTCACTTCCGTGTTCCACTTCTGTCTCTCCTCTCTATCACCCATTTCTGGCTTCCTCTTTCCCCCATTTCTAGCTTCCTCTTTCCCCCACTTCCTTCTCCTTCCATTAAGTTTTGCAATGGATAATTCCCGTGAAGATCAACGTTCTGAGGAACTTCATTTGGAAGAGGACGAGGGTGATGCTGGTTCTTTTTTGAATTGTTATGAGTGTCAGTTTTTTTTTTTTTTTTTGTGTGTTTGAACGATTATTATTGCTAATCTGAAAATATACTTTTGTTTCCTACTTTTTAATTGTGTGTTTGTATTAACAAGGTACATCTCAACGGAGGCGTGGACCCTCAATTCCTAAATGGACGAAACAGCTTTGTTCGTTTGATTCGTCCGGAAAATGCATTAGTGATAACGCTAGTGCTTTTTCAAAACATGTAGCAGCGGAGGTTAGGGACTATAGAAATCTTCCGTTGGAGAAAGATTGGCGTAAGGTTACGGAAGAAGATAAGGAAGCTTTTTGGAATAGAATAAAGGTATATATAGATCTTTTTATTTTTAGTTGAAAATAGAAGAATAGGTCAATGATTGTAATAATATTTGACTAGCGTGATTTTTTTTGTTTTTTGTTTTTATGTATGTAGGGAAGTATCTTTTTTGAAGATGCAGATATAGTAAAAATGCCTTTGATCCGTCATATGACGCTTAAGATTGCGGAGCATGCGCACAAAGAGTTTAGAAATAAGTTAAAAAAAAAGTATTATACTAAAAGAGCAGAACAGGTTCGCAGCGAGCCTCCTCCTGATGTGATTCCTACCCAGTGGAATGATTTGTTGGCATATTGGAATAGAGACAAAACAAAGGTAAACCCTACACGATTTATTTCGTTATAACTTTAAAGTTGCCTAATATAATCTTTTCTTTTTTCGTTCGTTTTTTTTCAGGAGGTTGCTGAAAAAAATAAGATTAATCGGGGATTGAAATCAATGAACCATACTACTGGTACAAAATCCTTTGCAAGAGTGCGGGAAGAATATGTATGGATTGTACATTTTCAAGAGATGATTAATTTTAAATAATTATATTTATTTTTAGTATGAGGTTTGCTTAATTTGTTTGTATGAAATTTTATTTTTGATAAAGCGGAAGAAGCATGGGAAAGAAGCAGATCCTGTAACCTTTTTTCGTGAATGTCATACACGAAAAGATAAATCATGGATTGATGAAACATCGGAGCGTACAGGGGTAATTGATTTTTTCGTGTTAGTATTTGATTTTATTAGTATTTATTATCTATAGCTTATTTTTCTGTTTTACGATTGAATTTTTGTTTTTAAAAATTGTAATGCAAGTCAACAATGGAGAGCAACCTGCAAACATTGATTGAGTCGGGCCAAGACGATAATGAAGATCTTAGGACCCAAGTTTATGTTGATACTATGGGTCCTGAGAGGTATAATAGAGTCAGAGGATACGGTCATGGTGTGACTCCTGATATGGTGTCTTATGCATCTTCTGCATCTTCTACATCAATTTCCTCTAGGAGATCATCTAAGAGTTCAATGGCGTTGCTAATGACTCAAAATAATGAGTTGAAATTGAGAGACGAAAATAATAATAAACGGATTTCGGACCTGGAGAACAAGCAAAATCAGTTGTTTGCATGGTTTTTTCAAAGATTTCAGCCACAACCACCATATAGCCCGGGAACCCAACAATCAGGCCACAGTCAACCTCCTCAACAGTCGGGCCAAAGTCAGCCTTCCCCTGCATATCCGTATGCTGGCAATAATCAGCAACCTCTATATCCTGTGTATCCGATGCCTGCGCAGCCCATGCCATACATGCAGCAGCCGCCCATGCCATACATGCAGCAGCCGCCCATGCCATATATGCAGCAGCCACCTTATCAAGTGCCAGTATATCGACCTGAGATGGCTGCTCCTAGTGGATCTTTTCCTGAAGTTCCAGTTGGGGGGTTTTCTGGAATGCTTGCAGGTGTTGGATTTGATGTGGACTTGTCGAGGATTTTTGGATCAGATGGAGGATCTCAAGGAGGAGTATCTCAAGGAGAAGATTCTCAAGCAGAAGGATCTGGACGACGTTCAGGCGCAGATTCGGTTGGGTAGTTTAATTGGTTCTTTTTCTTGTCGGTTAAATACGACAGTATAATTGGTCTATCTTTTTGTTTTTTTATGTTATGTTTGTAATGTCGGATTTAATGTTTGTTACGACGGACGACTTTTTGGATTTTATGTGAAATGTGAAATGTACAGTTTGGCACTATTGTTTTTGTTATTTATTTTCATTAATGTTTATTTTGATCTTAAAATTTATAATTTTTTTTGGTTGGAATTAATTGAAATTGCATGCAGTTGTTCATCCACTTTTATTATTATTAAAAAATATAGTGTCGGTTAAGACCGTTACTAGTTTTTATATTTTATTTATTTAATTGTTATCTAACGTCGGTTTAAGGAATATTTTATTTATTTCATTTTAATATAATGTCGCTTTAAAGCGACAGTATACTGCATACTTTATTATTAAATAGCTGATGCACGTGTAAGTATGCGTCGCTAGTTTTTATATTTTATTTATTTCATTGTTATCTAACGTCGGTTTAAGGAATATTTTATTTATTTCATTTTAATATAATGTCGCTTTAAAGCGACAGTATACTGCATACTTTATTATTAAATAGCTGATCCACGTGTAAGTATGCGTCGCTTTAAACCGACGTTAGGGTTAGTGTCGCTTTAAAGCGACACTGTGTAGTGGCGGATTAAGCTCAAAAAGCGACGCTGAAGCCCTTTTGCGACCCTAGCAATAGTGTCGCTATTGAAAAGCGACATTACATTATGTAATGTCGGATTTGTGCCAAATTTTCGACAGAAAGTTGATTTCTCGTCGGTTTGTCCTCCGCCGGTGATAGCATATATTGTAGTAGTGACCGTCTATCTTTTAGGATTTTGCCTCAAAGATCAAGTCTACAAAAAATCACCCAAATTCAAAACTATATAACCGTTGAATTAAATATAAACAATTCGGATCATTAAGATATGATATATATACATATATCACAAATTCACAATGTTGTTCGCAGGTCTATTGTAGGGCTTACGAAAAACTAGCAAACTTCGTATATACACAAACCATAAACACTAGGAAAGAGATGCCAACATAAAATTCCAATTTAGAAAACCAGGAAACTAGGTACATGTCATTATTATTTCCCGTACCATGGAACCTAAATTTCAAACAAAATCATTCAGTCTTCGAACAAAATGTTTCATCGACGTATGAATTCATAACTTTCTTGATTTCAGATCTAAATTAATAATTTCAAGCAGAATTCCTATACCTAATACTTAAAAGTCAAAAACCACATGTATAATTTGAGGAGGTGGATTGTTTGCTCTCTCATTTCCATACTCTCCATATACCCTCCTGTTTGTCTGGTCACGGTTAGGCTATGTCAACATTTTATATTCCTATTACTTTTTGTTTTATTATTTCTATAAAAAAATTAATATAAAATGTTGATGTGGCTTAACCGTGGCCACACATCACAGGAGGACGAAATGGGAGGCCAGACAATCCACTTCCATAATTCGAACCATTCATATATCTCATACTGTAAACAATGAGTGCCAGTTCAGTATGTGATTGTTCTTCGAATTTTATCTTATGTCGGTTCGTTTTTATTTTGGCTCAAAGTCCTTATAATAAAGTAAGCAATGAATAATACGTTTTGTGAAAATATAAATCATAAATAATACGATTTTGTTTTTATCTATGCATGTGAATCACATGCTACCTAGTCCAATTCAAGTATGTTATATTTTATGTCGATATAATATCAATTATCAATGGAGAAAGACTTGGCTCCTCAAGGGTCAAGAAGAAACTCTTCTTAAAATACTTTATCGCCGATTCACAAACGTTCGTTTTTATGAGTTATTCATATAATAAATCATTTTGTATGTATCATTTCTACAAAAAATCAATCAAAAATTAAAATCATTTAGCCTTCAAACGGTATAAAGAGGAACTTCTCCTCAAACATTAGGAAGACAAGCTCTTCTCTTATCAAAGCTAGTCGTATGTTGATGGAGCCAGCAAATAAGGCTGCTTTGGGGTATGGTCCATGTGCCTGTGTTTTCATGTAGTTAAATGTAATTCACCTCAAGTTAAATAGAATAGTTGACCTGCCACTTAATATTACAATTTAATAGTATTTTTCTTTAATTACAAGTAATAAATTTTATTTTCGATTTTCGTCAAATTCGAATTTGAACAAAAATGATAAAGATCATCCCCTGATAAACACATTGTTGATTCTAATTAACTCACTCTCTCTAACATATTAGTTGACACTTAAAATGTTATTCTACACTCTTATTAATTTTTCTTTATATTAAGAAAGGAATGCATGCCAACATTTTTGGGATTTTATCAGAATCTATTCAAATGTTCCAAAACACTTTTGTATTAAAACTAATGCATCGATCAATGACACAATGAGAGAAGTAATCTTGATCTGGCCAAAGATATTACTCATTTTCTTTATCATCGAAAAGCTTGTAGGTTGCTTTGACCAAAAAAGAAAGAAAAGCTTCCAGGTTGTATTGACACGTGCAGATTTGTATGGTCTTCATGAGAGAGAGAGAGAGAGAGAGACAGAGAGAGTAATGAACGGTGAGATAATTGGGATCAATCGAACAAAACTATTGACAGACATGAACAGGAGGACAAGACTCCGCAGAAACTGGAGATGATGATTAAAATTAACGAGTCATGCATGTGGTCCATAATGTACGGAGTAGGAACCTGTCTCCTCCCATTGATCTGTCCTCCTCTCTCTCTCTCTCTCTCTCTCTCTCTCTCTCTCTCTCTCTCTACGGTGAAAGCAATACACAATGTTGATCTGATTTAATCATAAATGTTTAAATAAAAAGAGACTGAAAGAAATGAACATGTGAGGGGAGACCGGATCCATCATGTCCAATGGTCGTAGTAAGTAATAATTTGCATATGTTTATAAAACTACCTCCTTAAGGCTCAACCTCCATTCTTATGGTATATATTGAAAGTCGGATGGTGCTGTTGCAGCCTAGCAGCTGGAGCACGAGGCTTGCAGAGACTTGGCATTACGTACAATATTGTAATTAACATGGATCCTGTGTACATCAACGGGATTCTCTTTGTCCTTTGTCATGAAAAAAGGAAAACAACAAACAACAACTGATGTGATGATTTTTGCTGAATTTTTTCACGTGCGTACATATATACACGCATGTTGTTTGGGTTAATATTTGAACATTATACTTGAAGGAAGAAATCCCAAAAGAGCTCAATAAAGGAGATTTTGCCGGAGGCCCAGAGTCAAGCCCAAATATCTATCTCAAGACAATATGGCGGCTCCTCAGTAATAAAAAGGTTATACAAGAGAAGTAACAACCGATAGAAATCAACCTACTATCATTCAAAAAGCACTTTATGGTGACAATACAAGTAAAATGTTGATGACTCACTACCCCCAAGTTATTTTCGGGCAAATACAAAGGCACAGTACAGTCAGGTTAATTCATCTATAAAAAGAGGAAAAGACCCCAAAGATAAGGACACTCAACCAATCAAACAAACAAACATAAAACTTGCCTCTCGGTCAAGAAAATACCCAGAAAGTTGTGCTTTGTCCAGATTTTGTACCCTTTTTAGCCTTAGACTCCCTTTAAAAAGACATCTTTTGTCTAGTGTAAAAGCTCTGCTACATTTTCTAAATGCTGTAGTATCAATTCTCTTGTGTAAACTTGTTCGCAACTCATCCTGCTTTAGTACTCAACCCTCTGTAACTACAAAGAGAAGAAACTGCAAGACATTTAAACCTTGCCCGACAAGGTGAAATCTTGCCCGACTCTCTTTGTTTTGTCTTTAAGTTAATAGATATGATGTTATGATGTATTCCCCAGTATATATTCAAGACATTTCCAGTCTTTTGATGAACCAGAGTTCCATCAGTTCTCAGATCTGGTTCACTTAGTGGTTTTATTGTCATAAGAAGACTAAATATGAATTAAACTGATGACTTGATCAGATCTGGAACTCTAACATTTAAGCATATAAGATAACCAACTAAAAGTCCTTGATCTCAAGGCATAGAAAATAACTTAATGTAGACTTAACCTATCTACGACAATCATTTGATAATAAGAAGTCAGAATAACTTGGGGTGCAAGTAATCGAGTTAAACACACTTATTCTACATCTACCATACTGAGATGGCAGTGGCACGCCGAAGCACTTAGTTTTGATTGTAAGCCTCAAGGCCTGCATCTAAGGCCCCACAAAGGCACCTTTCAGAACTAACTTTGTCCTCCTCTTGTAGCATCTCGGCAAGCTAGAGCCCGACAGTCAACTAAAGTGCCAACTCTTTGGGGAGCTGTGTGCTCGAGCCAGAGACCCCTTCCAGCTAGATTTTCTGCCCGAACATAGTTTTGGCACACCCGATGGGATCACAAGTCTTGTATGTCAAGAAGACAAAGGAAAAAACAAACTTTCAGGAGGAAAACAGAGTAGAAACCACCCCAGTATACACCAAGATCTAGCATGGCAAATTTCCCCGAAAACTTGCAAGGGCTTATCTTGACGGAAAGCCCGACTCCTTCTGAGAAATCAGGAATGAGGGTCACAAATGAAGACCTGCAGGCTACCATGATAGGTGTCTTGAAAAACATGGAGAAAAACTCTCTAGAAATGAAAGAGGAAATAAGCAGACTCTGTTCCTTAACAGGAAATCTGCAAAGAAGGCTAGATCTGGAATATTCTACGCTAGAAAATGACCAAGGTAGAAAGATGATAAGAGAAGCTAGCCCTGTGGAGGAGCCATTTATTCTTTTGTTTCCTGTACTTGAGGAAAAAAAGAATAAGGAAGAGAACAAGGAATGAACTATAGTGGATCAGCCAGTGTTGGAAGAAATCCAAGAAGCAGAGTTGCCCGACCCCTTGTTATTTTCACTAAATAGTAGAGGGCAGAGCGGGCTGGAAAGAACAAAATATAGGATGCCCCAGTTTATCAGGGAATTTAGTGAAAAAGGAGAGTATACAACTACAAACAAACATTTTCCTTACAGGCCACCACCGATGGTTAATAAGGGACTTGATGTCAAGTGGTGGCAGCCCGAGTCAAAGAATGAGGCCTCATCGGGCAATGACTGTAGCCCGAAGTGGGGAACTCTTTACACCCATATAATAACACAGCCAATCAACAACTCAGAGATGAGCTGGCTGAGTTAAGAAGGATGGTGATGAGAAACGCTCAGCCACATGCTCACCCGTTGTTTAAGGTCACCTATCAGAGGCCCTACCCAGAATTCATTGATGAGCAAAATCCTTTTCCTCTTAACTTCAAGATGCCCTCATTCCCAACATTCAACGAAGAAAATAATAATATGTCCTCCAGATATCACATCTTCAAGTTCTCCAACCATTGTGTGGCATTTGAAGATAACCCCAACTACAAGTTGAGATTGTGTGGAAACTCCTTAGTGGGCTTAGCATCTCATTGGTGCTCTCTATTGCCCCTATATTCCATTGCTAACTAGGGGTAAATGAAGATGGCATTCCACGAGCAATTTTACAGGATGGAGTTAAAGATGACCATCAACAATCTAGTTGAGGTAAAGCAATACGAGCATGAGTTTACTAAAGACTTCATTATGAGATTTAGGAGGACAAGGATGAGATGCAAGTTTCCTATCAACCATGTCCAGCTCATAGCTATTGCTCAGAAGGCCTTGAGACTACCATTGAGGAAAAAGTTTTATGACGTGCAATTTAATGAGCTTTAAAAGTTGGTGATTGCGGCCACTAAGTATGAGAAGTTGTTGCTTGAGGAGCAGCAACTGAAGCACTCCTCTAAAACACCATATTTCTACAAA